ACATGTCTGGGGTATCAAAGAGGCTTTCTGGTTGTGTGGAGATGAGAGAAATCAGAAGTGTGTCCACGCCCTCTCCCCACTGCTGGATATCGTTCCTGACCCTTGACCAAGTGCCCCAGACACCTCCCAAATACTGCACCCACTTCTTAGAGATGACTCACATGTAAACTGCTCAGTGATTGATAGGAAGGTGGCTAACAACCTCACAGAATATAAACCCAGCGCTGTACAAATAAACAGACAATCCCTGCCCCACAGTGTTTAAAACTTAAGGGTAAATCTGCAGGTTCCCCATTTCTACAGTGTTGATGAACATCATTATGTTATATTGAGGAGGATATAAAGTGTCTTTTTCCAGGTAAAGTCCATGAGGAAATTGATAAGGTGATTGGCAGGGACAGGTCACCCAAGATGGAGGACCAAGCGAACATGCCTTATACCAATGCTGTGATCCATGAAACTCAACGTTATGGGGATATTGTTCCTGCTGGATTGCCTCACATGACATACCGGGACACCGAGCTCCAAGGCTACTTCATTCCAAAGGTATCTATGGCCAGGCAGGGGATGCAGACATCTTCTCCCCTTGCAGACTTATCTCCTGAAGCTGCAGATATTCCATATGTGAATCTCCCCCAGGTTCCATGCAGAGGGGGGTGGAGCACCAGGCCCTGAATCTCACAACCATTGGCGAGTTATCAAATGTGCAGTTTTGAAAGGGCTTGGGCCTCATGGAGCCTTCTTTATGTGGCTAGCTCCATCTTCAACAGGTCTTTGGATATCTGAAAAAACAACAAATAGAGCTAAAACACAACTAAGGATTGCTATCATTACAAGGGAGACTGTAATTTTGTCTTGGGCACCTTATAACATTCAGTATATCTGCTTGAAGGTGGAGAAAGGTAATGCTGATTAACTGTATAGAAACTACCTGCTAGGTCAAGAGTTCAAATCCAGTACAGTAGCAACTAAAACTCTATTATCTGAAGGCTGTTCAGAGGCCCTGTGCATCTCAATCCAGTTCCAAGTAGACAAGAGACAATGACGGGCAATTATTGCCTTCCTTGGTGACAGTCTCACTGGAGAGACCAAAGCCATACAATACTCAATTCCACTTTCGCCCTTAGAAGAAACTCCTCTAGCTCAGGTCTAAGACATGTGAGAGGGAAAAGATCTCGCTTTTTCTGTGAAGACAATGAAAATTGTAGTTCAGAGTCTCTCAATCAGAACACTCTTACCAGAGCTAAAATTGGGGAGTAGAAGCAATTTTCATCCCATGAACCTCATTAGACCCTGAAAACACCACTTGCATATTCTTAGTCTAGCTAGCATGCAATGTACAAGGGTGACAGGGTTCAGAGCATATGCCTTGCACTGCCGAGGGCCTTGAAGGTGTCCCACTCCACTGTGCTATAAGATTATACAATTAGGTATCTGAGGTGGGTTCTGTGCCTTCCTCTGAAGCATCCTACAATGGCCACTACTTGAGATGGGAAATTGAATGCAGAGGGACTGGCCTGTTCTGATGTGACAATTCTTATGTACCCCGTTTCTTCTCTGGGGTGGATCAGGGGACAACAGTCATCGCTAACTTGTCCTCGGTGCTGAAGGATGAAACGGTTTGGGAGAAGCCGCACCAGTTCTACCCGGAGCACTTCCTGGATGCAGATGGACAGTTTGTGAAGCGAGAGGCCTTCCTGCCTTTCTCTGCAGGTAAATCCAAGGGGAGGAGCAACTGGGAGAGGCCGTCCCTGTGGAATTGAGGCACAGTGCATGAGAAATGACCCACTACTGTTATGGGAAAGTGAGTCTCCTCTAAAGGAAGGTGTCCCTCTCATCATAAGAGCAGCTTCCTCATGTGGAAGATCAGTGCAGTATGTGCTGAGCTGGGTCTGTTCTACAGTGCCCTGGTGGTACCAGTATATGCAACCTCTGCAAAATAACTCCCTCTCTCTATTTCTCCAGCGCAGAAACTCTGGCCTTGAAATTCTGTACTGAGGGTCAGGCCTTGAGAGCCTGAGCAGCTTGCCCCAGGGCCTGTGTAAACCACTCGGCCAAAGGGAAGCAGTCCTGTATTCTGTACTCTGCAGTAAACTGGGCAACCCTCACCTTAATTAATTCATTGCTCATCTTCTACTGCTGTAGTTATTTAAATAGAAAATAAACTTGTTATAAATCAATTCCGGTTGCTTATGTAACAAACCCACCTACCTAATCCCTGAGGAGCGCAGAACTGCCAGGTTAAGGAGGACCTTCGTCCCTTAAGCCTATACATCCATCTGTCACGTTAGGCTCTGTTCTTCATGAGCATGCTGCATCTCCCCAGAGAAATTACTCCATACTCAATAGACACAGGGACATACTGAATGCAACACATTAATCGCTTCTGCACTATAACGGAAAACCTTAACTGCAAGCCCAGGAATTGGTTTAGAAACAGTGTGCACACAGGTGAGGTGTGTGTTATTGGGAAAAGGATGAGGTTATAGTTAAGGATTTCTGTTAAAGCATGATCAAAATTGTTGTGTGCCACATACTTCTTTATCTGTTGCAAGGCACCCTGATCAAAGGAAGTTGTTTGTTACTGGAGGCCCTGGGACCACTGCAATGGGGTACATGGATAAGTAGGGGATAAAGGAGAGATGGATGTTCCCAGTTTCCCATATGCTCCAAACTCACCAGAGAGATGGGAAAAGGGAAATACTGATTCTCTGATAGACACCAAAGGAGGTCAGCTGTGGCTGGTGGAGGGGCTGTAGGCTCTGTCCTAACCCCTCTGGTCACCACATCAACAGCAGAGGGATTTCTGAACTGGTGGGGCACGACCTCTGCCGGGCGTGTACCAGTGCAGCCCAGGAGTTCCAGCAGTGGGAAACGTGAGGGCTTAGACAGAAGGGTCTATGCACTGAGCAGTGTTATAGAACCTTTCCCAGTGACCGGATCACCTCCAAAAATCGACAAACACTTAGCAGGGTGGTTGGTGCTTTCTAGGTTTGTTTCAATGCAGCCAACCGTTTCCGTTACAGAGAGGGGTTGGTTAGTTAGGCAGCTACTAACACATTTCCAGAATACGCTGCAGTACTGGGGCGGGGTTATCTGTGTCTGGGTACTAAGCTGAGCTAGGTATTGGCTCAGTGGGTACATCTACACTTCAGACTGGGGGTGTATGTTCCAGGTTGGG